TTCATTTCTGTTAATTTTAACCAAATAGGAATTAATTATTCATAGTTCAAAATTCGTGATTTTCATGGATGATAACTCATGGGTTTTGTCAATTTTCATATGTTTCACTCCAATTGCAATTAAATTTATTTCCAAATGTGCGGTTTTTGTGGACTATAACCCACAACATAATTCAAAGTTCGTCATTTTTATGGGTTATGGCCCACAGTTTTTGTGAATTTTCGTTCCTTCCAAACCAACATCAATTAAGCTTTTTTTTTTTTTACTTCTGAACCTGCAATTTTATGCATTTTCGTCTATTTCGACTCGATGGAGATTAATTGTGTATACTTCAAAATTACGATTTTCGTGGGTTATAACCTACAATATTTGTCCATCATTCTTTTCGTGCTAATGGAAGTTAAGTTTTCTGCATTTAAAATTCATGATTTTTGTAGGCTATATAACACACGATTTTATCCATTATGGATAGTTTTAACCATATGGAAATTAGTTAGTAGTACTACAAAATTCGCAATTTTTATTTTCTATGTAACCAATGAAATTTTCCAATTTTGTTTGTTTCGTTCCGATATCAATTGAATTTTATTGCTTCAAAATTCATGATTTTCATAGGCTATAACTCATGGTTTCTGTCTATTTTCATTTAATTCGACCTAATGGAAAGTATTTAATGTACTTCAAAAATTCACATGTGTATAAGTTTTAACACATGATTTTTAGTCCACTAGTGGGATGCACGTGTGTTGCTCATGATCAAATATCTTGATTTTTTTGTTGTTGTTTTATTTAGTAAAACATGGTTGCAAAAAAGTTTATGGTTACCATAAAATATATTAAAAATTTTCAAATGTCTGTGTGGGTAAAATCTTGTTGGTTTCAATTTTTACCTTCTAGAGAAATAGTGAAGTTTAGGGTCTTAAAATATTCATGATAAAAGCAATTTAAGTAATTTGAATGTCTAATTAAAAATATTAATGATTTAAGGAATCAATGTCGAAAGGACTGATTATCAGATTGATAAAATAAAATTTTGAATTCAAATAAAAATGTTAGGTTTTAACTAGTCCTATAAGATTTTATTTAGCTATGTTACGGAGATTAATTGTTGTGGGAAAACTTTGGTGTTGAAAGCCTACTAAAGCCAATATGTATTGTACGAATTAAAGTTCCTTTCTAAAACTTTCTAAGTCAAATGTGCAAATTCAGGAAAGAAAACACAAATTATGTGACCAATTTCAAAATCTGATGGTTTACATCCTTCCACATCTTCTCAACTACACTAATTGATTCATCCAAAATTCCCAAAATGACTACGCTCTAGTGCTAGAAAATTATGAAATAGAGAATGATTTTACACATATAGGCACTCAAGGTAAAGATTGTATTTTACCTCAGATCTATCTAACGTCAGGCAGTATATAAAGGTTTAAAAATAAGGAGCTAGAAAATTTTATATCTACATCCACAACAATACGCATATTCCATGTTACATGCTTCATAAATTTATAAGAAAGCGAGTAGGATAAAATGAGCAACACATTTTATTCCGTCAAATATTTAATTCCATATTATGAAAGGCAGGTCAAATCAAAAGAATATAAAACCCATCTCAATTTAGGGATAAAGTTCTCCAAGAGAACCTAATAGCAATAGATTTTCAAAGGTTAATGTATAGGATAAATCTAAGGACAAATAATCCAAATCAATCCATTGAGTGGTAGACTTGGTATAAAAGCCGCTCTTATAACATTGATATCACATGCACTTTAAGTTGTACTTCGTTTTAAGAATAATTCCTTTTGGACCCAAATTATGGGACCCTTACGAGGGATAGGTGAGTTGGCATATTCCAAGCTGGCATCTAAAGATAGTTAATAGGGTTAGTCTGGGTAAAAACTTTCGTCTCCTCATGATCTTTCATCTTCCTCGTTGCAATTCTCTTATGCTTCTGCCTTCGCCACCATAATCTCCTCTCCCCGTCATCGACTCACCGACTAGTCTTGCTCTCCTCATCACGTATTGTCATCCCGTACTCTTTGTTGTCGTAGTTGGGTGTCCTTACTCGTGTCTGGACAACAATAATGAGAAGTCTAGGAAAATTTCAGAAATTTTAAAAGCACCAATCTTTCATTCATTTAAGTGAAGAAAAAACCTCAAATCGCCTGAACAATTCTCCAATTTTGTCCTTATAAATTTAAATTTCTGAAATTTTCATGAAATTAAAAGGTAGCGGATCCATCTCTCTGTAGTTTGTATAGAAAATTAAGAACATCCCATCATTTGGATAGCTTCTATTATGTTGTTTTACAATCTAGTGTCACCATTTTAATGGTGATGACATTGTTGAGGAGAGGTGGTGGTGATGAGCAGGAGATGGAAGTGGTGACTCCGGTCACAAGAAGAGGGGGTGGCGGCGTTGGCCATGGGAGGAGCCGTTCTTAGCCGCCCTTGGTTGCTGGAGGTGACGATTTGATATTTTTATCTGTGGATAGTGTCATAGTGAATGGGTGCGGTTTTAGATCAGAAGAGATGGATCAAATTGTTTATGCCAAAAATACCCTCATTGAACTATTAAAGACAATGTTAATTTTGGCCAGCTCATTGTAATTATGCCACATAAGCATTGCCACATCACCTGTCCTATCATTTTGTCGAAATTTTGGGTCCTCCTAGCATTACTCTTGTTTTATATATAGTTATCCTCAAATCTTCAATAATTCAATATTAGTCCTTATGAGCACTTTAAAAGATTTCAGCGACTAATATAAAATTATTGAGACTAAAAGGGACTAATGGCTAAATACCCTTTAAATATTTGTTCCTATAGGTTAGTTCTAGTCCTATTGGATGTTCTTTAGCTTACCTGGGTTGGTCATTGAGGGAAAATTCGGTGTTGAACGCATACTAGCACTTTGTAGTAATCCTTCAAAAACTTCTACAGCCAAACTAATAGTTGCTTTAGCTGCTTTTTTAAATAAAGTAGGAAAAGCCATTAATAAAATAGATTTATCGGTTCAATTATCCAGTCAAAAACTATCCTCTCTTCAGATATGTAGTTTAATAAGGGGAAAAAATTCTGAATATCCTTAGTTGGATGAGGTTGAATATTTCTTATAAGTAATAAGAACCTATATCAGGCTTATTGAGGCGCGCGCCTCGGGCGCGCCCCGGGCGCGGGGCGCTTCGGCCTGGGGGAAATGCGCCCTGCACGCCTCAATAATATAGGTTCTTATTACTTATAAGAAATATTCAACCTCATCCAACTAAGGATGAGGTTGAATATCCTCGCGCGCGCCTCACGTGCGCCTCACACCTGCGTTATGTAACATACTCTTTCTTCTATTTTTTAAATAATTTACATAATTACATATTTATATCATGTAATATACTCTTTCTTACTAGTTGCTAATCTATTTTCATCTTTTCATGTTTAACCTATAAAAAGGAAACAATAATTAGTAATTTAGTATACTTGTTTGCTAATTGCAACTTCATTCTCTAATTAGCATGCTAACTAGCAAATTATAAACATGTAAATATGTAATTGTTACATTCATTCTTCATCTTTTCATGCTAAGTAGCAAATATCAATTAAGAATACTAACTAGAAAATTATGAACAGTCATGTTTGTTAATTATATTTTTTAGTCTTTTATGTGACAATTTATAAACATATGCTCATAATTGTTAATCACTTAATTTGATGATTTAAATACATGTTTCTTGTATCTTTTTTATTACTTTAAAATTTCAGTTAGCATAATTTGATGATTTAAGTTGATATTCTCATAATTTTGGATGTAGGTAACTAATATGTTGCTTATATGTTTCTGTCTTATGATGTTGGCAAATATTAGTTTGAGTTATGCGTCTCAATTAGTGAGGCGCGCGCCTCGTTGTGCGCTTTGCGCATGGTGCGCGTAAGTGCACTTTGCGCCCCTAATTGAGGCGCGCGCCTCGTTGTGCGCTTTGCGCATGGTGCGCGTAAGTGCACTTTGCGCCCCGCATTGCACTTTGCGCCCGCATTGCACTTTGCGCCTCGATAACACTGACCTATATAGCATGATTGCTAACTAAGCACAAATTATTAAAGATGCCTCTTCGTAATAAGAGGTTTGCTCAAATTGATATCATTCTAGTTCTAATCAGACCATGGTCATGCTTATCAGTAATCATCACTTTAAGAATGCTACAGATTCATAAAGCTAAGCTTGACCTCAAAGGCTCAAAAGTAAAAAAGCAGAGCTTGTACCTTGCTGTAGCGTATAATAATGCAATCAAGATGTCATCTACACGCATTGCACCTACTTGAAATTATTCAATTGGAAGCTTCGATCTGAAAGATACAAAATGGAACAATATTGATGGGTTAGGGGTACTTTAGGAATTAAAAATATGGATTAAAAACTGATTTTAATATTGGTTTTGAATTTGTAACTAATTTATCATATCTTTCTTTTTTAATTCATTTCTTTTCTGTTCAAACTTCTCTATTAGATAAAATTCCATTAAAAAAAACTTTCCTCTTCTTTAAAAATTGGGTGTAATGAATTCCGTAAATTTAGTTTTCTTTCTGTACAAATTCTGCACAGATGAAGCTTTCAAATGCTATGATTTCTAATGTTTTAGAATAGCCCTAATTAGGATATGATAACAATGATCCGAAAGGGTCAAGGGTAATACTAACCATGGAAAGACTTACCAATACCCACTTTTACAAGGAGTATGATTTTTGTCTGTTTGACCCAATGACAATTAATTATGAGTACTTAAAAATTTATAATTTTTATGAGTTATATAGCCCACAATTTCTAAAGTTTCCGTTCATTTCAACCGAACAATAGATTTTAATTTTTATATTTTCATGAACTATAACCCATATTTTTGGTCCACTTTCATCCATTTCGAGCAAATGTCAACTAGTTACGCATAATTTAAAATTTGTGATAGGCTATAATCTATATTCTAATTTCAACTTATTTCTTTTTTTGCTGTAGATGGTGGAATGGGACGCTGAGTTGCATTTAAGAAAACAGTCTCCCTTGCGTATAGAGAATGCAGTCTGCTATTGTATTAAAAGTAGTTGTAGTCTTACTGTGATGCATGTTTAGATGCTTATCATCTGTTTCTCGTGAAACTGGATAATTTGTGGGGGTCTCATTGTACCATCAGAATTATTTGCCCCTTCACGGTTACAGCTTAAAGGTCCTACTAAAATTAGGATGTCCAGTGATGCCCTTTTAGAACTGGTGGTGGTTTATGTAACTTTACTGTTTTCACCATAAGATGTTTTATTGCGTCCAGTGTTGCCCCTCTGGTTTTGGTGGCTGTTTATACAATTTTATGGTTACTGTAAGAGGCAAATTTGTTGCTTTTAGTGTTCTGGATGATTTTTGATGATTGTACATTGGCTGAGATCGCGAGTTTTTAGTTTTTATGATACACGTATAATTAATTGCCACAACATCTAAAAGGATAAAAATGAAAAAAATAAAATATAAAATAAATATAAGGTATAGTCCATGAAAATTGCGTATTTTGAAGTACTACGCTAAATAAGTTCTATTAGGTTAAAATAAATGAAAATTGATAGAAATCAGAGGTTAGGTCGAATAAAACGAAAATGGTCATAAATAGCTGGTTATAGTCCATAAAACTTGTGGGTTTTGAAGGGGAGGGAAAAAAATTTGCCGTTGGGAAATGTATAAAAATTGTAAAAAATGGTTCATAATTCCCCTTGGAAATTGCAAATTTTGAGTATGCTAGTTTTGAAGAAATTTCTTTGTCCATTTGGTTGAAATGAACAAAAATTGACAAAACCCCAATGAAAAGTAGGAATTTAAAGAATGCCAAAAACGTATCATTACTTCAAAACAAACAAACATGCACATAAATCTTAGGTTGTAGTCCACAGAGCTTGTAGTTTTGAAGAATAAGAAGAATGAAACTTAACTGCCATTAATTGGACATTATTTTTACAAACGCCAAATACTTTTAATTAGGTCGGAAAAAAAAATCATAGGTTACAGTCCTTGAAAATTACAAGTTTTGATGTGCACATAATTAATTATCACTAGGTTCGGACAAAAATAGATAAAAATCATGGATTATAATCTATAAAAAATGTGCATTTTAAAGTATGCCAAAAGATTACCATTAGGTCAAAGCAAACAACAATCTTAGGTTATAGTCCAAAAATTGCAAGTTTTAAAGAAAAAAAATTACCTTCCATTGGATCGAATTTTAAAGTATGCTAAATATTTTTCATGAGATCAAAATAAATTTGACAAAATTGTGCATAGCCCATAAAAACTAGGAGTTTTGAAGTGCACATAATTAAATGCCATTAGGTCCTAACGTACAAAGACAAAATTTGTGAGTAGCCCATGTAAATTGTATATTTTTAAGAACATTAAATAATTTCCATTAGATCGAAATAAAAGGTAGACATAAATCATGAGTTATAGTCCATGAAAATTTCGAGTGTTGAAGGAAATATCTTAATTTCCGTTAGGTCAAAATAGACAAAAAAGAAAGAAAGAAGGAAAGAAATTATAGGTTATAGACCATGAAATTGCATATTTTAAAATATTCTATATGATTTTCATTAGCTTGAAACAAACAAAAGTTTACAAAAATCGTTGATTATAAAAAGAATTACTAATTTTGAAAGGGGAAAAACCCAATTTCCATTAAGGTGAAATAGACAAAAATCATGGATTATTGCCCATGAAAATTGTGTATTGTTAAGTATGCTAAATAATTTATATTAGATAAAAAAAACTAACCAAAATTTTGGGATTAGTCAATCAAAATTGTGAGTTTTCAAAAAACAAATATTAATTATTATTGGGTCAAAACAGACAAAAATAGACAAAAAGTTTGGGTTATATAAAATAGTGTATTTTAAAGTACACAAAAAAATTCAACTAGGCCAAAACAAACGAAAACAAATCAAAATCTAGGGTTATTGTCCATGAAAGTTGTGAGTTTAAAAAGAAACTTATTAAAAAAACTTAGATGTCATTGGGTCGAAATGGATAAAAAGTAACAAAAATAGTGGGTTATACCCTATGAAAATTTCTTATTTTAAAGTATGCTAAATGATTTCTATTAGGCAAAACTGAATAAAAATGGACATAAATCATGGGTTATAGTTCATAAAACTTTCAAGTTAAAAAAATACCATTAGAGTGAAATGGATGAAAATTATAAAAACCCTTGATTATTGTTGATGAAAATTGTGAATTTTAAAGTAAGCGAAATAATTTTATTAGGCCTAGGCAAATAAATATTAACAAAAATCATGGTTTACAAGCCAAAAAATTGTGAGTTTTGAAGTGTATATATTTCCATTAGATCCAAACAAACAAAAAATAGACAAAAATTAAGGTCCTATGAAAATTGCGTATTTTGAGGCATGCTAAATAAATTCCTTTCAGTCGCAACAGATAGAAATAGACAAAAATTGTTGGTTATAAGCCATCAAAATCATGAGATTTAAAGAAAAAAAAAATCTCCATTAGGTTAAAACTGACAAAAATAGTGGGTTATGCCCATGAAAATTGCATATTTTTAAGTACGCTAAATAATTTCCGTTAGATCTAAACAAATGAAAATATGCAGATTATAGTGCATGAAAATTGTAAGATTTGAAGGGAAAAAATTATTTGCTATTAGATCCAAAAAATAAAAAATTAACAAAAGTCAAGGGTTGCCCATGAAAATTAAGTATTTTGAAGTACGCTAGAGAATTTCTATTTTGGACGAACCAAAGAAAAATGGACATAAGTCATGAGCTATAGTGTATGGAAAATTACGATTTTGAAGAAAAAAACTTTATTGTCATTGGATAAAAATGGCTAAATAAAAAAAAACATGGTTATTGCCCATGAAAATTGTGAAAATTTAAGTAAACCAATTAAATTTCTTCGGGTTCAAAAAATAAAAATTGATAGAGCATTGACTGCAAATTGTGGACTACAGCTAATAAAAATTGTAAGTTTTGAAATGCGCATTATTAATGGTCGTTGCATTGAAATGGAAGGAAATTGACAAAAATGATTGGTTAGATCACGAAAATCGGGTATTTTAAAGTGTAGTAAATACTTTCTATTAGGCCACAAAAATGCGAATAAATCATGGGTTATATATCATGAAAATTGTGAGTTTTGAAGAAAAAACTTAAGTGCCATTAGGTAAAAATGAATAAAAGTTTACAAAAGTTATGGGTATTCGCCATGAAAATTGTAAATTTTGATATGCGCTAAATAATTTTCATTTGTAAGAAATAAAAAAATTGACATAAAGTCTTAGTTACAGCCTATAAAATTTCCAAGTCGCTTAGGCCAAATCATAAATAATTAACCCGATTTCAAAATTCTCAATTTTCAAGAGCTATAACACACGACTTTTGTTCAATTTCATACATTTTGACAAAATCACAAATAATTAATCATAGCTCAAAATACTCCATTATCACAAGCTATAACCCTCTAGTTTTGTCCATTTTCATTCGTTTAAGCTCAATCACAAATAATTAGTCAGAGTTCAAAATTTCAATTTTCATAAGTTATTATCCATGATTTATGTCCATTTTTTTGCTAGGACCAAATCATAAATAATTAGTTGGATTTCAATATTCTCATTTTTCATGAGCTATATCCACGATTTGTTTCCATTTTCCTTCTTTTTAGCCAAATCATAAATAACTAGTTGGGTTCAAAATTATCGATTTTCATGAGCTATACCCATGATTTTTTTGTCAATTTTCGTTCGTTTAATCCAAATCACAAATAATTAACTAGAGTTCAAAATTCTAATTTTTATGAGCTAAAGCCAATAATTTTTGTCCAATTTTGTACATTTTAGGAAAATTGTAAATAATTAGTTAGGGTTCAAAATACTCAATTTTTAAGAGCTATAATCCATGATTTTTTTTTTTGGCCAAATCGTAAATAATTAACCCGAATTCAAAATTCTTAATTTTCATGAGCTATAACACATGATTTTCATCCACTTTAACTTGTATAGGCCCAGTCATAAATAATAAATCAGAGGTCAAAATTCTTGATTTTCGATCTATTACACGTGTTTTTTTTATCTATTTTTGTTCTGTTGGACCAAATTATGAATAATTAGACGGAGTTCAAAATTCTCAATTTTAATGAGCTATAACTCATGATTTTTGTAAGTTACTATTGTTTAGGTCAACTCACAAATATGTAACCCAGTTCAAAATACTCGATTTTCATGAGCTATATCACACGGTTTTTGTGCATTTTCATACATTTCAACAAAATCGCAAATAGTTAATGAGAGTTAACAATGCTCGATTATCAGATTTCAAAATTCTCGATTTTCATGAGTTATTATCCATGATTTTTGTCCTTTTTTTTTCATTTTGACCAAATCATAAATAATTATTGGAGTTCAAAACTCTCAATTTTCATGTGGTATAACCAATATTTTTTTTCATTTTCATTCATTTTTGCTAAATCGTAAATAAATAGTTGGAGTTCCAAATTCTTTGTTTTCATGAGGTGTAATCTATGATTTTTGTCAATTTTCATTCATTTTGTTCAACTCACAAATAATTAATGGGAGTTTAAAATTCTCAATTTTCATGAGCTATAACTCAAGGATTTTTCCATATTCGTTTGTTTTTGCCAAATCATAATAAATAAATTAGAGTTCAAAATTCTCAATTTTATGAGCTATAGCTCATTATTTTTGCCCATTTTCTTTTGTCTAAGCCAAATCACAAATAAATAATTGGAGTTAAAATTTTCAATTTTTATGAGCTATAACCCATGATTTTTGTCCATTTTCGATCGTTTATGTAAAACCCCGTAAAATAAAGTGAATGAGTTTTTATTGTGAAATATATATTTATATCATAGATAAATATAATAGCAAGTGTTTGGGGATCAAACAAGTAAATATATGTGAGAAAATTTTAGTGGAAAAGACCAGCACACAATCAATCATGCACAAACAGGAATTTTCCTGTCCGGTCGATCGCGCCATAGCGGCGGGGGGGCGCGGGGGGGCGGTCGCCCGCCGAGCGGATTTTGGGTTTTTCCAGATTCGGGTCATGTTGGGTTTTGGGTCGGATTTATTGGTTCATATATATAGTTTTATACCCGGGAGACTCTCTCTTTCATCAGTTTAAACCCTAGCAGTCCTCTCCTTCCCTCTTGCAAACCCTAACCCCTTCTCCTTGGTGTTTCCGACGGATTTTGGAGAGTTTTAGCGGGATCCGGCGGCGTTCAGCGAAGGGGAATCTTTTTCAGCGTCCTTAAGAGTTTGTCAACACCCCTCAGGCGAGTTTCATCTCGTTCAACCCTGTACCCATGCTTTTAAACTTGTTTTCTAATGTTT